TAGCCCGTTCGCAATTTCAATTTGTTTTATGTGTCAAGCTAGGTTCTCTAGGGAGATTCAATTCAATCTGAGTCCTTTATTTTATACAGATTATGTAACATATGATGCTTTTGGCTTTTATACAGGGTTGCCAATATGGAAGTCGCCGATAATACAGTCGTGGTGTATTGCAGCTTAATACCCAAAAATAACGATTTTTACCGACACCTGAAACAATGAATCTTTAGCGAACAATATTTCCCTGGACGTTTAATTTCTCGATTTGGTGATGTCAACTGGCCACCAAGGTCACTGGATTTAACTGTTCCTGACTTTTTTATAGGGAATTTTGAAAAATAGAGTTTATCCCAACAAACCAAACACTGTAGAGCATCTGACGGACAATATTACGGAAGCGATTGAAAATATTCCTCTCGAAACCTACCAAAAAGTGATGGAAAATATAATCAAGAGGGCTCAGGTTTGCGCGGGTTGTAGAGCCGGACATTTGTCTGATATTATTTTTCATACATAATTTCTAAGTTTCGATAAAAGATTAAGATGAAAAAAATGGACGTATTTTTTTCATTTCACAAATATTCAAGATACAAACCAGTCAGTTACATATCGGCCACCCTGTATGAATAATGAAAAACAGAAAATATATTGCTAGGGTATACATTCAAAATAAGAACTTCTTGGTGGTGGATACGAGGAGGAGGATAAAACCTTTTTACAAGGTATTATTATGATTATGAGATATAGTACACAGGACACTTGAGGTTTGGAGGCTGAATTTGACATCGCTAGCTTCGCTGGCTGATTGGATGATCTACTTTGCTCAAAATTGCCTCTACAGATTTGTCTTTCTCGGTATTTATAGGAAATTTATATACGGCTGATCCAGACATGTTGCCACACTGTCCTTTTGTAGACTCTCCCAAAGTATGTCATCGGGATTCTGTAGGGCCACTGCCCAGCTCTTTTACATATATTTTGGAGGCACCTCTCCAATTTAAGAATGCCACTTTTACTTATGCGTAGGAACACAGCAAAAGTCCGTAAGTTAGTAAGGAGACTCACAGACATATGAGGTGAGGTCTTTTGTTCCTAAAAGGTATCAAGAAAAAACTGCGGAGTTAAGCTGGTCATTGGATTGATCACTGATCTTATTTAGAGCATATCTACGCAAAGGTACCTCAAAAATGTATCATTGTCAAGAAAGCCAGTTTTGAAGCAATTTCGACCTCAATATAGTATTTAGGATATTGAAACGTCGAATAATGTTTACAGTTTGTTAATAGTGTCATATATGCTTGTTATCAACATATTAATAAACACTCCTTGTTTTAATTATTATACTAAGTGACATATAAATCCGAACACCCAGTTTAAATGGTTTTATTTTAATGAAAGTTGGTGAATGTATTTATCTTACTGTAAATAACAAGTGAACAAATTTTCAGCCTTATCAGTTGGACATTCCGGTTTTTATACTGCTTTTTTTTAATTCACTAACGCTCTAAAAATGAATATTTCAGCCGCAGTAAAGAATCAACGTTGGCGGATTTTGGTTCTTGACATCCTTTACGATCGGTTACGATGCCTAGAGTACGGCGACCTGTACGATTTCGTCAACTTAGTGAGTTTGATAAGGGCCGTATAGTGGGACTTCGGGAAGCTGGACTTTCTTTTCGGGCAATTGCAGTTAGAGTGCAAAGAAGTGTAGACACTGTGGTTAGGTGTTGTCAGGCATGGCTTCGAGAAGGCCGTACGCAAAGAGCAAGGGGCACTGGACGCCGCCGTAGAACAACAGACCGTGAAGATCGCCGCCTAAGATTATTGGCCTCAAGGGACCGTTTCTCCACTACCAGGTCCATTGCAAATGAATGGTTTGCAGAACACGGAAGACCTATTGGCATGCGAAGTGTTTACCGACGAATGAGAAGTTTTGGCTTGTTTTCATACCGGCCGCACTGGGTCCTCCCTTTAACTCGAGAACACCGACGTAATCGCCTTGAGTGGTGCAGACAACGGTCACTCTGGGATCAGGAATAGAACAGTATTGTCTTTAGTGACGAGTCTCGATTTTGTTTAGGCATGCACGATGGTCGTGCCAGGGTTAGAAGGCGACGTGGTGAAAGGAGGAATCCACAGTTTTTTGTTGAAAGACATGTTCATCACACTGTTGGAGTTATGGTTGGGGGTGCTATAGCTTATGGTTCCAGGTCACCTTTAATCTTCATCAGAGGTAACATGAACGCGCAGCGTTATATCCACGAAGTTCTAGAACCCTATCTTTTACCTTATCTTGACACCCTGGCAGATCCAACTTTCCAACAAGATAATGCCCGACCACCTGTTGCAAGAGTCACAATAGACTTCTTTCAACATAATGATGTCACATTGTTACCATGGCCACCAAGATCTCCCGACTTATCCCCAATTGAGCACGTGTGGGATATGATGGGTAAGAGATTGCTCAATTTGCAACGTCCTCCTCAGACTCTAGAAGCACTTCGAGAGGAGTTGGTGGTTGCCTGGAATGAGATACCACAGGAGGACATTGACCACCTGATCAGAAGCATGCCTAGGCGCGTTGGAGAATGCGTCGCACATCAGGGTGCATCCACACATTATTAAAGGTCAAAGGGCTTTAAAGCAGTGCAATCATTTTAAAATTTTTATCATTTACTTATTATGCTTCATTAAGTTTATTAAAATAAAACCATTTAAACTGGGTGTTCGGATTTATATGTCACTTAGTATATTTGAGTTAAATTCTTAATACGTACATGCACCAGTGAGATTTTAAGAGAGCGAGAGACCTCATGCGGCGCTTCAACAAACTATCTAAAGCAGCTCACACACTAAGTTCAGGCTGTATGAGTAAAATAGTAATTCAGCAAAAGTCCAGAACAACCGTTCTGCACTTATGTTGTTCTAGCAATAAATAGGGTTAGTGGTACATAAGTTAAGCAAGAGAATCATCTTAATCTCATTTTGCTCTTATCGCTTATTATTAAACAGTACACGTACATAGAACTTATTAGACATGCCATACGGTTTAATGTTGAATGTTTTAATATCTTCAAGGTACATATGGGAAACTCGGACTAAACGAACACCCCGAGAAAATCGAATTTCCAGTTTTACGTCCAAATCATGGATCGGCCAATGTGAAAAGGTACAACATAGACTTATTCATTCAACCTAGTTCAATGATAGGCAATTGTTTGTATTCAGGGTGTTTCAAATTCGACCCTCACCATTGTGATCTCGGAAACTGTAAGAGATACGAAGCCGCTTAAAATGGGGGCAAAGTAAAATGCCGCTTAGAAAGTTTCGAAATTCAAAGTACTTCCGTGGAGAGACAGAAAAAACTGAATTTTCCCAAACTGGTCTTAATTTTTTCCTGACTTTATTTGTAGTGGGATTTCAAAATAAATTGCATCTTGTCATCTTTACTTATTCTCCTCTACAAGATGACGTAGTCAAATTTTCAGTTAGATATTTCTTCTTTCAAATTCCATCGCCAACTTTATTTTTTCATATAGACGCTATATCGGAATTTTGTTCATTTAAATGGACTTTTCAGTCCTAAGTTCACTAATGCATTTCCTTAGTTGGCCATGAGTTTGTTCTTCCATTAAAATTATAAGGACATAAAACAGGTATGGTTAAACCTGAACACAAAGACCTGACTCTTCTCTGTACATTGTTCATTGCTCGGCTTATTTCTCTTCTTCTCAGTCTTCCAACCTCTGTTGCTATGTTTAATTTGAGGTCTGGTCTGGTATACGAAACAAAGGAAATCTGAAAATTTCAAGGCCTACCTAGGAACTGTTTTCCTGAAATAACTAAGGTTTGGCAATGCCAATGTATGACATATTATACTTTTTTGAAAACAAAATTAAAAAACCGATTTATCTGTGCGAGAATCCAACATGGCATCCATGAGAGAAATTAAAGTTAATGCTGTTAACATGCAATTTATTTTGGAATCTCTTCTCAAATAAAGACAGGAAAAAATAAAAGTGATTTTGGGGTAAATCTGGTACGCGAAACAAATGATAATTTCAAGGCCTACCTATGAAATTCTGCTATTTCTGAAATAGCTAAAGTTTGTCAACATCAATGTATAACGTATTATGCATTTTTGCAATCAGAATTAAAAGCTCTATTCTTCTGTGTAAAAACCCAATAAGGCGTCTATAAGAAAAAATAAAGTTGATGCTGGAGGACAAGAGATGAAACGTCATATTGATATCCCAATTATGACATCTTGTAGTGCAGAAAAAGTGGCAACGTTAATGTGCAATTTATTTTGAAATTCCACTACAAATAAAGTCAGGAAAAAATTAAAACGAGTTTGGGAAAATTCCGTCTCCTCCGGAAGTACTTTGAATTTTCTAAGCGCCATTTGGTCTATTACCCAAATACGGATCTTTCCCCCATTTAAGCGATATCGTATCTTTTATAGTTTACGAGATCCCAATGGTGAAGGTCGAATTTGAAACACCCTGTATATGTCTACCAGACAGTAAAATGTATCTTTTTTAAATATTGCATATGGGGTTGCGCGTGAATCTCCATTTGTCTACGAACAGCTTTTTAAAACAGTAAGCGTACATTTGAAGGACTTTCTCAGTCATACAAATGAAGAGGATTGGGTCAAAGGTTTTGAAAGCAAACAAGAAAATTCTAAATTCGACTCAGGTGGTCTTATAAATGAGCGATTCAACTGCAAAGAACAGTATCCTCGACTGTCTTGCTAAAAACTGAAAACGGCCTGCTTGTTAAATTTGGAGGAAATAATCTTCAAAACAAACTTGTGGCTAAATAGGTTCCAGACTGTTACGCGCTGTATCCCCTTTGTTGCTTGCTGTGCCACTTCTCGACAATTCTCTTCAAGGGTACGCACAGCGCATAAACTTGAACGACATTCCATTCAAAGTCGGCATGGAATTCTCAACGCATCACATAGGAAAGCTCTTAACCCTGGCAGCCACATAACGTACGCGTCAGACTTCCGACTTTTCTCCCGTTGATATCCTCCCTCTGGCAGTCACATTGTGTCACCCCTAAACCCTCCTCTATCCTCTTCCCTCCATCATTCTTCTTGCGGTTCCGATTCCACTTTACCCTACACACACCAACACCAACATAACAACAACAAACCCACCGGATTTCGACCGCCTTCTGTGACTGCGGTGTTGCCATCCGTCGGGTAGCTAGCATATGGGGTTGCGGTAGGCTCGACAGATTTGGTGGTTTTCTCACAATCTGGCTATCCCTTTCTATTACATAAAAAAGCTTCCTATATATGACGAATAGTAAAACAAGAATTCTTGGCAGTACGAAATATCGACATGAAGCATATTCTCAGCCTCAAAGAGTAATTTACGCTTTAGCAGCGTTTACCAGGAATCTGTTTTGAGTGTGATATTGATGAATATTTAAAGAATTTTGTCCATGTAAATACTGATCTGGTTGAGGAAGCTGGAGCTTCTTTGGTGAAGGTGACTTCAGGTCCGGATGGAATTCCTTCATTTCTATTGAAAGAAAGTGCAACAGTGCTTGTACCTACACTCACTGTACTATTCAGTTTGAGCTTAAGATATGGTTTATTTACAGTGCAATAGAAAATAGTCAAAGTCTGCGACAAATATAACGTTGAACACTATCGGCTCATATCCCTCATCAGTATTCTTGCCAAGATCTTTGGAAATTGTCTTATATAACGGTTTAGATATATATATATATATATATATATATATATATATATATATACATTTATCGGAAGCATTAAATAGCACTAATCAAGTAGATGTTATCTATACGGATTTTTCAAAAGCCTTTGGCAGGTTTGTCTCATACAATCGCTTCATATCCGAAATATACATAACTCCATCTAGTGTGCTCCAGGGATCTAACTTGGGGCCATAATTATATTTGATATTTATTAACAACCTCCGCGAGTATTTGAGATGTAAACGTTTATGTTTGCATTTGACTTGAAAAACTACTCTACAATTAACAACATGCACGACTGTTTGAACTTACAGATGCAATTACGATGCGCTAGGATTTGGTGTGAATGCAATAGATTACATCTATATCTATGTCCAGTGCTTTGCTCCTCAGAGCTCTCCTCCATGATGCCGCGCAAACAGTCAGACCAGCCTGACTTCGGCCTCGTGTCCTACATCCAGAACTGGCCGATACGACCACGCTTTTTTCTCCGGGGCTATCGAGATCGTGGAACAATCTACCTGAGGAGGCTTTTCCGATTTCTACTATTCTTAGGCAGTTCAATAATCCGATAAACAAAGTTTATTCAAGCTCCTCGTAGCAGCCACGGTGACCTGGTATTTATTCTTCTGCCTACGCGGCTGATTCGGTATGAAAAAAAAATAAACATATATAAATTAAAAGAAATGAGCTTAGAATCTCAGTAACGACGCCGCAGAATACATAGGTTAGCAAGATGTTTTGGTTCAAATTAATGAGATTTATCAGCTGCTAAAAGAAGCAAAAAGTTTCGTAAAACATGGGGGTCAAAACGGCATTTTTTAGAGAAAAGCGACTTTAAAGTAAACTAATCTGACAACGCCGCAATGCCAGACGAAAATTACGACGGAACGCAGTGTAAATAAAGATGGTTATTTTTGGCTCTTAGATATTATTTCATTATTTGATAATGTACTCGTAAAATGCAAACAATTAAAAAAACGGACTTATCACTAACTGTCTCAGCACTTCACCTGGTGTGCGACAGTTTATTGAATGTATTAAAAAACTCCACTTATAAATAGGGAACACAATTTTTATTTAAAGAAGGTGTTCAAAATGTCGTCCTCCACTTTCCACACAAGCTTCATTACGACGAACCCAGTTTCTTCTTACTCTAGGTCCTCGAAGTTATTTCAGCCGCATTAAATTTTTTTTCGCGAAGTTGTGCTTTAGCTATTATTGGATCAGCTCCATAAACCATCCGTCTCCCCAATACCAGAAATCCATCGGATTGAGGTCAGGAGACCTTGCTGGCCATTTTCGAGGATCAGGAGCATTTCGACCGATCCAGCGATTTGAATAATGTTCATTCAAATACTGAATGACGCCTCTAAAAATATGTGGTGCCCCGTCATGAAGAAACCACAAATTCTCTTTCCGTTGTAATGGCATGTTGTCTAAGGTCTGTTCCAAAAGTTCTGGTAGGTTATTGGCTAGAAAGCTAACGTATCCTTCTCCTGACAACTTTGGGGGTAACTGGAAAGGGCCAATTACTTGATCGTCAAGAATACCCGCGCAAATATTTATTTTAAAACGTTTGAAATGACCTTCACGAATGGTATGAGGATTTTCTTGGGCCCACGTGCGAGTATTATGGAAATTTAATATTCCGTCTCGCGTAAAAGTACATTCGCCCGTCGCTAGATTATTAAAAAAATCCGGATTTTCAATGTTTTTGTGCAAAAACCTCTGCGAGGATAGTCTTCTGGTAACAAGGCCTGCACTCGTTGTACATGGTAGGGATAAAGCAAATTTTCCCGTACGATTCTATGGACTATGGTATGCGATAGTCCTACGCGGCGGCCACGATATTTAAAACTTGTTCCTCCTGCTCTCTACAGTAACCTGTCTTTCACGAGTGCGAATATTAGTGGGCTGAACACTTCCTGTATCTCGAGTCTTTGGTACACTTGCACAAATGCCCTTCTGTCTGGGTGTACCCGTTGGCCAAATCTATCGAGATAAATTTGAGCTGCAAGATTTGAATTCTGACGAGCTTCACCGTAAACTAACAACATGTCGGCGAACTCTTGATTCGAGAACATTGTAAATCAACACGACGACTGACGCGAACAAAACAAAACAACATACTAACCACTGTTACCGTTTGCGATCGGTTGCCGGTTCGATAAGAGTGATGAAAGATCGACGCGCTGTTGTCATGTGTGTTTTAAATATTTAATTTAATGAAACTTACTTACTGACTACAAATTTTGGCTTAACTTATAAAAACTTAATGCCATTTATTTGTTTATTACCCAACTTAAAAACGTTTTAGATTAGATTATAAAAATTAGTAAGATTGTGGTGATTGTGGTCGATATAAATCACTTAAAGTTGTAAACTATAAAGCCACTTAGACAAAAATCTTTTGGTCAATGGGTCATATGAACTTTTTGACTTGTTTTGACCCCCCTGTTACCCATTTCAATAATGACTATCATAACGTTTACACCCTGTATAATAAGCCGAAATAAGCGTATACGTACATAAGTGAACAAAAATAGTAGAAAATCGCGTAAAACTAATAGGTACACTTTTTAATAAACCATCCAGTGTACCCAAACTCTCAGGTTTTCCTATTCAAAACGTAATAATTTCCATGATTAGCTAGACTACCCTCCAGCATGTGTGAACCCCCCTAGCACGCAAATCTCGAAATCCTCTTATTGTAATCTGAACCCTGAAGTAGGGTGGCACAATGGAGGCAATAATATTCATACTCAATTTATCCCACTTTGTGAACGTTGCTTCCCCCGTTTTCTTATCAATTGGCATCGACCCTTTGTACCGGATTTTCGGGGGAGTTCTCCGGGTCCGTGCGATAATTTAAAACCGGTGCCGCTGTTGATCCCTCACCGATGATCATGATTATCGCCCTATTGACCCAACAACCCTTTTCGCTAAAGGGATATGGTTTTTGCGATGTTGACGATTTCATAACTTTAGCTCATAATTGAGATAGTTCAGTTGTAAGGGCTTGATGCACAGCCGTTTTGCCTAGAAAGTGGAATGATGTTCCATCCAGTAGGGTTATTATGTAAAAAACCTGTATAATTTAAAAAAACGACAAAATGTCAACTTGCTGACTAGATAGCTGCTAGTGTACAAATAGTTCATTCCAAGAGATTCACCCATAGTATCACCTATGGAGGAATGCCTCAACCACATGCTCAACGGCCATGCTGCAAGTCGCATTTATTAAATCGGTCGATTCTTTTTGAAGAAAATTATAAAAATCTCTATTTACCTTATTTTGTTCGGATAGAAAACAAAATCACAGGGAAATATCACTTTTTTTTCAATAAGTGTTGCTCGTTATTGGCCAAACAATGATACAGGCGATCTTCAAATTCCTGATGGACATTTTCAAAAACATGTTGTGAACAGCTTTCGATGATGCGTTGACGAAGTTCATCAAAACTTTCAGGTTGGGGAGTAAACACAATAGATTTCAAATGGCTTCATAGAAAGATCTAATTGCGTCAAATCAGCAGATGTGTATATTGATCTGCATGTGTATAAGTCAGTGATATTAGCTATGTAAGAAAATTATTACAGAATATGCTGCCCAAGCAGTATATCTATTAACTGAACCAGACGGGTTATTTATGTGTTGTCTTTTCCGAAAAGATGTTATGTTCAAAGTTATATCTAAGGCTTTATTTTAAAAAATAAATACATTCACTTACCTACAAGGCCACATAACAGAAGAATTAGGAATGATCACACACAAAAGATTTTCACAGTGCCTCACATCTAGGCGCCGATTTATATTTTTTACTTGGAATCGCAAAATAAATTTCTATAAAATTTGAATTACCGAAAATTAAAAATAATGTAAAATGTATTAACCTTTTCACATTTCATAAACATCTCTGTCTGTAGCCTATTTTCTCACTTGTTAGTTGTAATATGCTTCACCAAGTCGGGATAGCTCAAGCATCATGACGGTAACACGTATAAGGCTACACAACGAGTGCACATCAAGTGAACAACAGTTCCACGCATTAGGCACTCACGAACTTCAACTCATTTCCTTTAGCACTTAAACAATTACCGGCACGAAAATTTAGTGTAACACTTAAGCAATATTTGTATGATAGATACATCTAAATTATTAGCGCATTATAACAGATTAATAAGTAGGATACGCGGGTTTGTAGTGTAAAGATGGGTTTCTTTATTTCATTTATCTATTTAAGTTCTTTCATTTTAGAGTCTTCCAGTGTACTACATCTGTCTAAGGTCAGGGGTAAGAGTAGCTTTAAGCGAAATCTCGAATTGTGTAGTTAATAAGTAATAATGACGATTTTTATTATTATTATACAACTGTTTAATCTCATTACGGACTGTGACAATTATGACAAGAAGGTTGAGTGACTTTCTAATATTATTCATCTCACGACATTGGCGAAGAATCATTCTAAAATGTCAAACATATCGAGACTGGCTCAAGAGATTTTATTAATACTTGTACGAAATAGTCGCTATAATATTATAA